TACACATGCTCTTAGGCTGCTGCCTTGAAACTAAATATTCGATCCTAGTGTACGAGTATCCAGAAAATAGAGCTCTTTCTGATTATATATTTGACGATCATCAACAACTATTACCTTGGGATTGTAGGTTGAAGGTTGCCAAGGAGGTTGCTGATGCTTTGGCGTATCTCCACACTGGATTGTCCAAGCCCATTATTGTTTGCAGAATAAGGTCCACAGGACCAAGACGAACACGACGCTGGAAATAAAAGTCACATACGACGTTACACGTGCCTACACGCGCCGCCTGAATTTCTGCGCGTAGATCTCATGCGCTGTTTGAATTTCTGCGCGTAGATCTCACACGCTATCAAGCGCCCCACGCGTCTTCTCCGGCGAAAATCCGATTCCGGCAAATTTTCCGGCAAGAATCCGGTCATATCTCCGGTGAGCCGAGCCGAGCCATATATGGGTGAGGGGCAAAATGGGAATCAAAAGGGTAAAATAGGATTTTCATATTTAGTTTTGGTCAAAAAGTGGTCAGAGGGACTTATTTGTACCTTTTTTGAATTTTATGGACTAACATGCACATTTTAAAAAAGTGGGGACTAGTTTTGCACAAACCCTATATATCAGGGGGGTTTTTTGCACTTAACCCAAATAACTATCACTTAAGTCCATTTCTACTTTTCCGTCACAGTTTCTGTTAAAAAAGTGTAAAAAGACAACTTTGCCTCTAATTTTTTTAATCCCATTTATTTTAAAATATCTGTTTACTTAAATTACTATTATACACTTAATGAATACTCCCACTACTAACTGTCGCCGGAATTAGACGTCGGAGCTTTCTCTCTCCACCAACTCGTCACCCAATAGTTGCCAGAATCATTCCACGGTTGCTGGAGGTCCAGCTATCATAATAGGTACTGGGTGGTGATCACGACCCACACCTAAGGTCGATCTCTGCTTCCAAAGGGATATCCACCATGTTCGGTGGCAAAAGTAGGGGTCGTAAAAGCAACCAAGGGTCGTGCCACGGACGGCGATGACCGTTTATTTGAGTATGCATCATTTAACTCTTTTGTTTAAATGATACACTTTGAGTATGCATCATTTAACTCCTTTTCATTAAAGATGTATTTATTTGCTTCACTTCTGCACATGAGCAATCAAGTTATATACTGATTTTCATTGGTGTTGTATATCAACGCACTTCGTTTTTTATTTTTATTTTTTCTTCTTTTGAAAAATTGAATATTTTGTTATCAAAATCTTGTCGGTCAAACTTAGTTTTTAGTTTGTTTTTATTATTGTTATTTTTTAATAATCAAATATGGTATCAGAACAAGGAACAAACCAGAAATTCTGTGGTGATGTCGGTTATGAGTTTACTATATGAAGGAAGCTGAACCATTGCATAAAAGGGTTTACATCTGAAATAAAAGAAGCTTCTGGTTTTGAATTCATCCCTACAGTTGGGATAAAGAAAATGTAAAAGCAAGAACTACCAGCGGTCACACTTGACTACAGGATGACCTTACTGGGACACTTGGTGGACCTTGATGGGAGAAAGACCCACACCTAAGGTCAATCTCTACTTCCAAAGGGATATCCACCATGTTCGGTGGCGAAAGTAGGGTCGTAAAAGCAACCATGGACGACGATTATTGTTGTTTACCGACCATAACTTCACGTGAACGGTAGTGCGATGAAGGCATTGAAAACTGAATTTAAGCCATCGAGACTGATATCGGCAACAAAACAATTGTTTTGGTTTGGATTTGGTGGACGCAGTTGGGGAGGACAGACGATGGTGGCACTGGTTGTGGCAAGGGCTAAAGGAGAGGCGACAACTGACACGATATATACCTATATATATATATACACATTAAAGTGTATATATATATATATAATTGTAAATTTGTAAAGTATTTAGGGATATTATAGTCCTTTTATTTAATATTTTAGGTTAGATAGTACTTTTGACAAAGTCAAAGGGTATTTAAGTCATATTAAATAGTGTCAGAGCTCAGTACATAACGGTTGGGGTGTGACTGAAAAACGGAACAAAAGTTTGTAGTGTGAGTGATAGTTATTTTCGAAAGATGTTTGAGTGTGATATTTGGCCAAACCTGAAGGGGTGTGAGTGAAATTAACCCTTGTTTTTTTTGTATGTTTGTGTCTTTTATGACGGGAATAAAATTTTAATGGTGATGCTCAATGTGGAGTATGGAGGGATAAAAACCAAAGACCCAGCTTCCTGCCCAAGCTAAGTCAGCTGCACAAGATCAAGCTCAGCAAACTCCATCCAATGCTCTTGCCCTTCCAGGTTCCTATTATTATTATTATTTTGCAGTAAACTATCGGTAGTCCAAAAAGGGGAAAAGGTAAAGGGATTTTTCTTGGGTGATAGAAGAGATTTATTTTAGGAGACATTGCTTGGTACAATGGTAAAAGCCCAGCAGCCACATTCTAGTCTGTACAAAATAATGTCAAAGGTTTTCTGTCTCTAATGTTTCCTCCTATCACCCTGCATATGTAGTACTGGCACCAGACAGGAAAATAGATTTTAGAAGGATTAGTGGGAGAATTAGGGAATGAATATTCTGTTATTTTTTTAAAAAAAATAAAATCTTTATCAGGCTGAGACATTGCTTTATGGTTAATTAAGGTTTTCAAATTTTTGTTTTTTGATAATTAATTAAGGTTTTAAATTTTTTTTACTACTATTAGATCACTTCGATACTAGATTTTTAGTTTTGGGTTTAGAGAAGCTAAATGGATGTAGATTTAGGTTTTTATATGAAGTTAACCATAGTCAAAACCAAAGGATTTCTCAAAACAACTGCTTTCGGTATCTAGGATCGATAATAGAAAAGGACAGAGAGATAGATAGTGATGTAACTAGTAGAATTGGCGTAGGTTGGACAAAATGGAGGAAACCTAGTGGAATTTTATGTGATAAAGGAATAACATATAGGCTAAAAGGAAAATTTTATAGGACTATTATGAGACCAATTATGTTGTATGGAGCGGAGTCTTGGGCCCTAAAAAAGGAAACAAGAACAACGCCTTCATGTAGCAGAAATGAAAATGTTAAGATAAATGAGTAGAGTGACTAGAAGAGATACGGTCACTAATGAGAGTGTGAGAGGAAAACTAGGTGTAGCACCCATTGATAGGGATATTCAAGAGAGTAGGTTTAGATGATTTGGACATGTATATCGGAGACCTAGTAACACACTGGTCAAATGAAGAAAACTAGTTGAAATAAAGGGAGAGACGGAGAGAGCGGCCAAAAATATCATGGGATGAGGTTATTAAAAATTATTTTAAAAAGTTAATAATAGTAGTGAATTAACATGTAATAGAAAAGATTTAAGAGAGAGAATGCATGTGAAACAATACAAATGAAACTATACATATGTTCTAATAGATCATGATATTCAGGTCAACTAGTTGGGTCTATTTGTCAAAGTAAAATGATTAAGGCCAATTCAATTAGGGCCATTGATGGCCTTAATTGTTTCACTTTGACAAATAGGCCTAACTAGTGGGCCTGAATATCATTTTCCGTGGAAATATTATGAAACTATATGGGCACAAATTCTTTTGTAAAAACTTCCAGTTTTTTGCCCTTCATTTTGAGAGAGAGAGAGAGAGAGAGAGAGAGAGGGAGAGGGGCTATATGTAGTTCTGCCCCAACATGTTAGACTGCTGTGGGGTTGGAGGAAATTGGGAGGCTGGTTCTTTTAACAAAAAATGCAAGGAGGGGGGGAGGGGTACTATACGTAGTTCTGCCCCAACATCTTAGACTGCTGTGGGGTTGGAGGAAATTTGGAGGCTGGTTTTTTAACAAAAAATGCAAACACATATAGGGAGGCTGGTTCTTTTAAACATTGAAGCTCAACCAGTGATTGAGTTGCAATTAGGTTGATATTGAATTTTGCTGTTTTAGTTTCAAAATAGTACAACAGTAAGATGGGGATATATTTGTGCCACTTTATAGATGAAATTTTGGAAAAGGCAAGTCATTTTTAGTAATTATTAAGCAATCCAGTGTCACCTGAAACATGGAACTTTTGAGACATAGCATCCTATATATGCTTTTGTACAGTGGGCGTATATTGATTATGAGGTATGAAAATGTGTTCCAGTATGTAGTTCTCTAGCATATTATTGTTGCTGTTTAGCAATTCACATTTACAGTAAAAACTAAAAACAATTTTTTCAATGGAAGTTCTTTAAATCTAACATTTTTTGTGGTTTAATCTGATTGTTCCACTATAGTAACTAGATTGGGGGGGGGGGGTTGGGGGCGGCGGGTGGTGCGTTATTTTTATTTCTTTACTCATTGATCAGCCTCGTCAATATATAACTTTTCCTTTGCTTTTCGTATGATATGAAATTGAGAGTTAGAAGACAAGGTGCATCCTGTCTTTCTAAAATTTGACATTATAAAATGCTATAGAGGTTTACATTCAAGTTTCTAAATCTGTTGACTTAGATCTGGATTTTATGTACAGGTCCGGACAACTCTAGAGATTCGCAAAAGGGAAGGGATCAAAATGATTTAGTTGTTGGTCTGTCTCTGCAATCAAAGGGATTGTACGTATGCATACTTATTTATGTTGTTTTAGAGGGTTATGCGAATATATTTCTGGTTCTATTGATTTCCTTCGTTCCCTTCTTACTCATTGATACTTCACTCATGCCCTCTATATCCAACTTTTTGAATTTGCTTCCCAGCATTTTGGTTACTTTTAGATGTTAATAATCCAAAACGATCTTTTATCTCAGCTGACCCTTATTTACCTTCCATGGGGAGATTTATGCTACAACCTCAACAGTGTGTCTATTGCCTATTACTAAAAAGAAAATAAAGTTTATGACTATTCAAGCTATTGAGCTTAGACATGCAGAACTCTTATATCTATTTGTTTTGCATGCTTGTTATCTTTCCATTTATACAATCAACTTTTACTGTTTGTCTGACTGTTGCTTATTTTTGGCAGAACTGACGTTGGTTTTTCGGGCAAGAACACTGCTGTTGTTTCTACTCCTGGTTCATCTGAAAGGTCTTAGGCTTTTCTCCTTCCTTTTCTTTTTCGGTCGTCCTTATAGTAGATGCTTGATGTGAGAAACTTGCTTCCTTTTGTTATCATGCATTAATTTCACGCCTTATGGAATATTAGTTTACTTTTATGAAACACAGATACTCTCTAAAGGAGTGGTATACCTATTGGATACTTGTATACCTCATCCTCAGTGGCCGCGGATATGTGTCTAGCACTTCCTAAATGTATCCATAATTCAATCTGGAACTTGCATATTCTAAGTGTATTCATTATTCAGAAAGAGAACTTTCTATTAAACCACATATTGGATACATTTTAGATACTCCGCAATATATGTTTGGCACGTATTGGATAATAAAATGTAGCATTTGTAGTATAAATTATATTTATAATTGTAAGGAAAAGCGTAACAGTTTGGGTTTAAAATGGTTGGACCTTCTTAAAGAAGAATAATGGAGATATAAATTTAGTTCAAAGTTTATGTCCATGTAACTTATTGTTTTTTTTTTTTTTTGGATAAGTAATGTGATTTTTTATATTATAAGTTAGAAATACAGAATATTGATAGATTCATAAAAATGTGTTTGTTATACTGCTGGGGATTATTATTGGATCTGTTTGGGGTCTAGTGGATTATGCCCAGGTCCTCCAGAGGCTTGGAGAGGTTTGTAGAGTGGGGGACCAAGCCCGTGATTGTTGGCGGGTAACGCCTTTCTGCGTTTGGTGGTGTCTATGGCAAGAAAGAAATAGGAGATCTTTCGAAAGAAAGGAGACTCCTATTGGAACGCTGAAATTCTCCATTATTAGCACTCTTTTCTGTTGGGTTCTAGGGAGAAATTGTAACTCCATGATGGAGATTGTTGATATCTTTTGGGCTCTTTGACAATTTAGAGGCCATATTTGGCCTTGTGTAGCTTTTGAGGGATGCGTTCCCCTTTTGAACACTTTTTTATACACTCGTACTTATCAAAAAAAAAAAAATGATAAATTGTTGCTTTGGGTGATAGATGGCACCTAGGAAAAAAGAAAAAAGAGTCTTGTATAATTGAAGTATTAAATACATATTCAATTTTTGTTGTTTTGTTTTCATGTTCCTTTTCTTTCAAATTGACATGCTGATATGCATTATGCATAGCTGCACCTTATTACTTGCTATTTGAGAAATAAATATATAATTTTCTCTGATCTTATAAGTGGTTGCCATTAAAAAAAATGAAGTTTAGTGATACATTCTATACTCTTTTGGTTTTTGGATTGACCGTATGTTTATTCTATATTTGCTTATGGATCCCAATTCTTGAAAAAATGGCTAGGTGTGGTTAAAAGTTTAAATCCTTTTTGTTACTTCCAGGAATCTCTCAACTTCAGCCCTTATGGAAAGAATTCCAAGCAGATGGCCGCGCCCTGTATGGCATGCTCCGTGGAAAAACTACAGGGTAAGAACCTTCTCCTTTTCCCTCATTGCAGGGGATGGGAAGTTGGTGGTGGATATATATATATATATATATATTGGAGTTCATGTCATTGTTTATCCAACTACAAAAATATGTTGTTTTACACTTAGCAACAATGAGAGGCTTCAGTTATAATATTTCATTAGAACTTAGTTATACCTGGCTTATAAGACGTGAGGACTTGCCAGTATATATTTATTGATAGTTTACTCCCTTTATTCCAAATTTTTTTCCATTCTAGAAATTCCAACTGTTTAAGACGAGCATTTATTACGTTCAAACTCAAATAGAAAGCACGATTAATCAAAGCTGACCCTCCAATTAGACTAATGATTGCATTTACATTCAATTAGAAAAGGATAATTTTGTAGATTTAACCATTTCATATATTGGCTTTTCAAATTGAACATCTATATTGGGGTATTGAAAGAAGGAAAATATAAATCAACAAATTTGGAAGGAGGGAGTATTGGTTTCTCTATTGGATGGGATAATGTCTTTTAACATATCTTCTTTCATACTCCTCTGAACAGAAAATATATTAGCTATTCTTCCATCATATTAACCAGTTGTATTTTTGACAAAGGTATATAAGAGCTATATTGAGGGATTGGTGCTCTATCAGATACATCCATAGTGAAATAGCTAAGGGCCTGCTTGGTTTGTCACTGATAAAATAGTTTACTATTTTCAGAGAGTTGAAAATCAGAAATCTGTACAAAAACTCTGCGTAGTTTTCTGAAATCTGTTTTCTGATCAGTTTTAAAATGTTCTATTTTCAGAGAACTGTCTTTTATAGTTTAACCGAAAACATTTTTCTAATTTCTGAGTTCTTAAGAAATGTTTTTAGAGTGACCAACCAAGCAGGCCCTAACGATGTAGCAAATATAATTACATAGTGCATACATGTATGCACTACTCTGAATTTGTCTGTGACCTATGCACAACTCTGAATTTTTCTGTGACCCTGTTGGTTCTTCCATCTTGTGTTTGTATATTTGTGATGAGTTGTAAACCTCCTGGAAACTAAATCTCTTGTTGATGACTTATCTGCTTTACCATTTACTAATTGAGCTGCATGTGTTTCTGCTTTCAAACTTGATTACCAACTTTATATGTTTTCTAACATTATTAATGCTAAACTTTTGTAGGTTATTAGTGGCCATCTGGGATGGGTGAGATCTATAGCGTTCGACCCAAGTAATGAATGGTTTGGCACAGGTTCTGCAGATCGAACAATCAAGGTAAGAAGTTTCAAACTTTTTTCTGCAGATGACTGCTTAAGATTTCTTTTTGCCCATTGAGTTGATTATATGGTTTTGTAATATATTTATGAGCTTTTGATAATAAAATTTAGCAAATTGTGAAGTACTGCACTGTTTTGTGGAGGTTAAAGATTTGCAAGTATTAAAGTTATCTGAACAATCAAGTATTAAATTGGTGGATTCTTCCCTGAAAACAGCGACAAGACAGTAAAACTGCAATGAGCCTGCTAATTAGGAATTACAACCATGGTTACAAATTCTCTGTCCCTATATAGACAAATTATATTTTATTCTGGAGCCTGAATTGAGTTGGAGAAGAAAAATATTTGGAGTTGATATCTTCGAAAAATAAGAAGAATTAATAATTCTAATTACATATCATGACACATTCACGATGAGGGTCAATAGTGTATATTGTTCAGTTTAATTGATGAAATCAAACCAGGGGTATGATAATTAAAAGTTTGGAGAGAAATTATAGTCTAGTGAGGGTTTGAAAGAAATAGTGACTTCGAGTGTCACATATCCAGAATCATTAATGGTATAATAGTGAATTAGTGATGACTGAAGCTCAAGGGATACGAAAGAGTGAAAAGTTTTCCCACCCAGGCTTGACTATTAATAAGGAGGGAAAGTTGAAGATATTGCTTATAGAATCAAAAAATGCAGGATAGATTTTACTTATCAAAAAAAAAAAAAGAATGTAGGGTAGATGAAATAGTACTTAGATTTATTGTGATTTATGTGTATGCTATATACTTATGAATTCGAAAGGAATATTATCAAGTACTTGTGAGACCGTTATGCTGGGACACAATGTTGGGCATTACTGTATCTTCATAGTATTACCGAAATGGGGATGTTGAGAAAGAGTCTAATAGAAGCAGCACCAATTGGAGAGGAGATGAAATGATAGAAAACTGATTAAGATGGTGTAGCCATGTGCAACAAAGATGAATCAATATTCAGTACAGTGGCAAGGAAAGTGAGATGGTCTAAGGAAGCGGGAAGACTATTTTTTGTTCAATATTCAATACAGTTGAACTGCTAAGTGTTTGGAAATTTAAAAACTTTTTGAGGGATTTTCATACATAGATATTGATTCATCACATAGAGACAAGTTTTATGCAAAAATAAAATATGATGTATCATTCAATTTAGGGATTGAATACTTATATCAAAGGTTTGAGTAAACATTTAAATCTTTCCTCTAAAGTGAACGTTCTCAGTTATTGTAGATCCCTTTGCTAGATACTTTCTCCTTGGATCTCCATCTTCTCGGTAATGGCTTTGCCTTTAGGAATCACTCATAAGCCTCCATGAATGACCTTAGAAAACTAGGCTTGTGGGTGCCTCCATTAGATGACAACATAAATCCTAATTTTCTAGAGAGAGAAAATATATTCATTTTTCCTTCTTCCAAAAATCACCCCCAAAATATACATAGACCATGTATATATATAGGTCACATCAAAATAAAGAAAATGAAATAATAAATCATTCTCAATCTCTAATTCACATGTCTCAAATCTAATAGGATTCCAATATCAAGTTGGGCCATGAGTGAGAATCCTTTGGGCTTATTATTTTATTGGCTACAATGAATTAATAATTAGCCCGGTTCATGAACCCAATTAAAATAATTCATTAATTAATTTCTACTCCACTAAAAGAAATTAATTGAACTCCAATTAAATAATAAATAACCTCTAAGTCAATGTTGCACTTTGACCCCTCTATACATAATTAGTTATCGGATAAATAAAGCCATCAATCCGACTACTTAATTAATATATTTATTTTTGTACCTTTGATTATTTCTGGCTCGATCACAATAAAATATTTATTTGACAAAAATAATAATTTAAATAAATAAATATATAATAAATCATTTTGTCTAAAAACACACGAAGGCCTTCGAATTTACTTTGTGATCAATCATAATCAATACAAAATAAATACAAGTAGCAATGATGAAAATATTGAAAATATAACCCTCTAACTATTAATTACATAATTACCCAAAGTGCCGGTCTAAGGATTCCGAAGATTCCGCCGATCAAATCAAAGTAATTACTAATTAATAAAAGAGTCTATACTTCTCTCATACTTAAGAGTCAAATGCCATGACGGTGATAGGGAGCAATTGCATACGACGACTCTCGCAATATATCTCAACCTAACGCAGATTCAGTTCAAGTCTTAATTAATTATGAGTCCATCCATAACTACCGACTATGAACAATTTATGATTACTATTTATATTCATGTATTGATCGCCATCACATACATATATAAATATCTCTTGTAATCAAATGGACACTATCAATTCTATAATGAATCGAAACATAATACATTGAATTCACCAATTGTATCAAGCATAAATATTTCAGAAACGTCAGGAACATATGTCACTATAATCCAAATAGAAATTTGCTATGCCAGGGCATATAAATCCTAACAGCTCCCACTTGCCCTCATAGCTAATTCAAATTGCATCTAACTCCAATGTTATCCAGGTGATAATCAAAACTATTGATCGATAACACCTTTGTTAATGGATCAACAAAGTTGTGTTCTAATGCAATGTTCTAGCCATGAGTATATTTTCTTGCCGGACAATATCACGTAGGACATGATACTTTCCTCTCAGTGTACCTTGTTCCTCTATGGAACCTTAGGTCATTGGTTTGGACTACTTCTGCACTATTGTCGCAATATAGCTCGATAGGCAAGCTAGTATGCTCCACAACCTCTAAATCACTGAGATCAAACCAAAAGGCTTCCTTTGCCGCCTTTAAGGCTGCAATGTACTCCACCTGCAGGTTTGAGTCAGCAGTTGAAACCTACTTAACAATCTACTAACTGATTTCCCTTCCATTGAGTGAACATACACTAAGTCATGAACTTCATAGTATCTACTTCTGATTAAAAAACAGAACTAGCATACCTGACTAGGACCATATCATCACATCCATAAATGAGTATGAGATCATTGGTTCTTCTAAGGTACTTTATGATATTTTTCACAACAGACCAATTATCAAGTCCAAGATTAAACTGATATCTTCTGACTATCCCTACAATTTAGCAGATAACCTGTTTGGTATAGACCATGGCATATATGAGACTCCCATATGCCAAAGCATATAGTTTCAGTCTCATTTGCTCAATCTCCTCTGTTAGTCTTGGAAAACTACTTACTAAAGAGAACAACCCATATCAATAAAGTAAGAACTCATTCTTTGAGTTATGCATACCAACCCTGGTCTAAACTTTATCAATGTAGGATTATTAAGATAAGCCTATTTTCCTTTTAACCTGATCTTGCAAAAGCTTGATCCTAGGAATATAGCTTACACCTTGAAAATCCTCCATTTCAAATTAATTGAACAACTACCTCTTTACTGATGACAAAACTTCCACGTCATTATAAATGAGTAGGATGTCAACAATATATATAGAAATAGAAAAATAATGGCATTCCCTTGTACACTTATGATTTATTCACTAAGAAATCTTCTGGTATCCTTTTGTAGATTAACTTGTCTTCCATAGGTATCACCCTACTAGAAAGTTCTACAAGATCCCAGATTTTATTAGAATACATAGATTCCAACTCTGATTTCATAGCAACTCGCCAAAACGATCTGTATCCATATCAGTTCACGCTTCCGTGTAACTTAGTGGGTCTAACTCATGTTTAACAGGGATGTCCATAAAGGTCTCACCTAAAAACATGATTCTGTCGGATTGGATGATAATCCTCCCACTACATCAATGTACCGATGCAGGAATCTGTGTACTAGATGATGCCGACGCACCAATAGGGAATTCATATATAATTCTTAATCTTTATAATAAGTGTGTTCAATTGTGGTACATCTGGTACTCATACAATATTCTCTAACATTATGTTACTAGGTATGTGATTCATAATATGATCCTCCTATAGATAAACAGTGAGTGTAAACAATTAACTTTTATCATTGAGATCATAAAATAATCCATCGTAGTACCTTTAGAGTAGCCATCAAATCAAGCATGCCTATGATCTGCTTCCAACTTACTTGTCCATATCAAGCGCACATGTGCAAGACTACCCCATATGTGCATGTGATTCAAACTAAGATTTAGTTAAAAATACAGCACAAACGGTATCCTTGAGACAGACTAAGATGGAATGCAGTTCATAATGCGCATTGATATCATTAACGCTAAACTCTTAAATGAAAGAGATAATGTAGCATAACTAATCATAGATCTAACCATGTTAAGCGGAATTCTGTTATTCCTATTTGACACCTAAGTCCATTTAGTGTCAATTGCGGAAAACTGGTACACAACACCCTCATTGACTATATAGTCTTTGCACTATCCCAAGAAATACTCATATCCACGATCAGATCGAAGTGTTTTGATAAGTTTACCTAATCTGTGCTCCACGTCAGTCTTGACACTTTCGGAATATACCAAAAGTTTAAGACTTGTGTCAAATCAAGTAAATTTATCCAAAACGTGAGTAAACTTGCTTGGATGTTCATAAGACCATACGCGTCTATGTGTACCGACTCTAATTGTTCTTTATGTCTATTTCATTTGGCTGATTAAAGCCCTTAGGGTTATCTATCTTTCAAAACAGGATTCACAAGTTAGTTTAGGCTCCTCTGCCTCACTAGGTAATAAACCTTTTTTGACCAATCTTTGAATCTCATTTTGACTGATTATAACCTAAAAATAGACACTAAAAATATAATGAGTCAGGAATAACAAATTTTCTCTTAACATTCAATCTAGAAGATGCAACATTAGTTTCTACATCCTGCAAATCTTAAGAGCTTGTGATTATAGTATATTAACCATCTTTCAATGCACCATAAGTAATCGCATATCTATTCAATTTTATAAAACAGTTTTACAAAATAACAATATAGTTTTTATAAACCACAAATGAAACAAGAATTAGATTGTG